CTCGTATCACGCCAGAATCCAGCAGCTCTTTAAGATGTTGTTTGACAGCATCCCGATCTTGTGGGTGGATTGGTCTGGGTCTTTGCTTGAACGGGGTTTGATCAGCAAGCTTGATTTGGTTAAAAGTAAAAAAGGTGAGTGCTGCAGAGGGTACGTGTGATAGAAGGCAATAAAAACAGGTGCTCTTCGAAGACGGGGCAATCTAAGCATGTAGAAAGTCAGAAGAGAACAAAGGTAGTCTGAGGCACTCTGTTTTAGTGAAAAAATTAAAAGTCCTTTAATGAAGTGGACTGCCTACGCGTTTCGACCAACAGCGGTCTTCGTCAGGGCATAAATAATCACCAGCAGGTGAACCTCTTTTAAAAGCAAGGCTGTCACATGACAGGAAGAACATGTGACAGAAAATTTGACAGAACATTTTTGTGAAACAAAAATCACCAGTGTGACTCAATCATAGTGAAAAAACTATGTATAAATACATGGAGCTATACATTCAGACACATACGCACAAAGCGCCACAGGAAAAGAAGAGCGAGCGAGCATATAGATGAAGGCACCAACTGTAAAACACTGATATAACAAGAGCAGTGAAATGCCAGTTTATATTCTCATCAGTGAACTAAAGTGTTTAACTTTATTGGTGCAACCAAAGTCCATGTCGTGTTTGGCAAAGACCTCAAGGATGCCGTCCAGCTTTGCAATAATGCAAAGTTTCCACTCTGGTGAAATGGGTGAAGTTGTAATTGAGCTTGGACTCTGACTGCTGTTGCTCAGGTAAGCGTACACTGTGTTCCTGGTGTAGAACTGTCCGGATCGCACAGAGCTCTGCAATGGCGATACGCCCTGGCAAGATGACATCATGCTCAGATTCATTTGTAACAACTACAGGCAGGTGGTATGGCGGTTGCGGAGGTAGATCTACCAGGCAGGATTTTATCATGAGACCACCAGGCAGAGAGAAGGAAACTGGGTGTTGCACAATGGCAGCCCTCTCGCCTTGCAAGACTGGAGCAATGGCTAAAGCGTCCAAAACAACGGTGGCCCCAGCGGTGGTGGCTGTTGGACTACTGGACTGCAGGTTGAGGATGCCATGGTGGTCGTTAATGGTAAGATTGTGTCTGTGCTCCAACATCTTTAACACTGCCCTGTATCCGTATTGCAGCGGACTGAACTGTACGTCTTTAGTGCCAAAGTGTTTTGCATATACTACATCCAGTGTGTTGGTTCCAATGAGCACAGAGAGCTGTGAGGAGCGGAGATCAGGCACCACCAATGCAAGAGTCTCAACTGTCGTTGCCTGACCCAGGAACTCCACAGGAAACTCAACATCCAGCTCCACATATCCAAAGTAGGGTACTGCCTGTCCCTTAGCACCTTCCACCTCCAGCAAGTTGTCTAGCGGCTTGATCTCATGGTCAGACAAATATGAGTTATAGAATGAGTGGGTGACCGTGGTGACCTGAGAGCCGGTGTCAAACAGGCAGTTAAAATCCATTCCGTTAATCCTGACCTGTCCGGTGCTCTTTGTTCCAATGAGTCCTTTTGGTAATGAAAGTTGCGATGCGGCATGTTTGTTATGGGGACGCTCGTGTACGGCAGCTTCCACTTGTCCCTCAGAAGAAGCTGCGTCTAGTTTGACGGTATTTTGTTCTTAGCATCCCATGCTAGCTGTCTCTGTCTGAGTTGGCTTCGTTTCTGCTCTACAAGACAGGGATTGGCAGGGTTTGTACACGAGGGAACAATGTGTCCATCTTCACCGCACTTGAAACAAAACCAAGGCTTGGGTTTTGTTGAGCCATTGGTTTTAGCTTTTTGCTTGCCCTGTCGGCGATTTGCATTAGAGGCAGGCATTGTCTTAGCCAGCAAGGCAGACATCTGACTTTGCAGTTTTTGCATTTGCTGCTTCAATTAATTTATGGCAGTGGGGTCTGCTTGACCGCATGGGCAGGAGGGTGTGGTGTGGGACTGCAAACTGGCCCGTTGTTTTGAAGAAGTAATATGTTTCTTCATCAAAGAGTCTTTGGCCAGCTGCCTATCCTCTTCAGTTCGAAACAGGAACAATAGTTCGGAAAAAGCGGGTGGGTTATCCCTCCTTTGCTCCAACTGTAATTTTGTGATGACTGCATTGTCCCAACACCCTCTGCAAAACTGCTTTAATAGATGTTTGTCAGTGTCTCCTGGTAAAATGCCACCTCGCTTTATGACTGTACCTAATGTCAGCTGCAACCTTTGCAGGTAGGAGGACGGCCTCTCTCCATGGTCCTGAAGAGTATTCAGAAATTGCGCAAAAAGCTCGTCTCCATCCTAAACAGTGGCAAAAGCTGAGTCAAGGACTTGGATGAACATGGCAGGGAGCGAATTGGGTCCCAAGCCTTTAACAAGATCTGCAGCGGGAGGGAGCGACTGTCCAGGATGCGGCGTGTAACATGCAACTGTGACAGGCTGGGATCTGCACGCAAAAGTTCAATGTGGGAACGCCACGAGTCATAATCCGCTTCATTAGCTGGTTTGGGCGTTCCTCCAGAAAATGTACGGAGGCGCAGCGGGGACATGGGTTGAGAGCTAAAGTCATCTTTTCTCATGATGTGCTCCACGACTACTCTCTGTACTTCTGGGGGGTTCAAGTGGTGACCGGAAGAGAAACCCTCTGCCCTATGTTGATTGAAGGGTTGGGTTGAGGAAAGGTTGCCGATTGGTCAATGGGGGAATGACCTGGCAGCTCAGCGGTGACTGTGGAATGCAATGGTAACTCTGACAGCTCAGGCCCAAGTACTTCCGCTTTAGTGTCCCTTTCTTCCTCTCCGTCATCCTCATCGTCAGTCCCCTCACCTCCAACTTCCTCCAGATGTTCACTTAGCTGGTCCATCACTTCCTTCATGACTTCTTCAAAGGGCTTTCCACTTCTTTGGGCTATGCGTTTGAGTTCATGGAGGTAGTCGATGGAAGGGGTAGCAGGAGGGGCAGGGAGGCTGGTGGAAATACTCCCTGTGACTGTGGCCTGAAATTCCTCCGCAAGTGGCTTAATCCTGCAGATATACTCTGCATTTTTCTCAGATTTATATTTGTATGGCAGCAGTGGCTTTAGTTTGTTTAAAGCTGCTATGTTTCTATATTCAACAATCAGGCTTTTGTAGAAGGAACTATCGGGGTCAGTAACTGACGCCATTTTGACGTCGCCAAAGGTACGTAAAAAATTAACTAACTCGTCATCTGCTTGAGTGTTTGTCACACCTGTCACATAAACACAATGGGTAATATTTACCCCATTTGTTCAAAGACATCCATATTACTAGATTTCAGGAAAACAAAAATATTTAAGACTAGTCAAAAGTAATGTGACTCTGTGAATATTCACACAGTGTGGCTCCTGACTAGCTCGCCAAATGTAACGCTAGGCTAGTAGCGGAGTGAACAATTAGGTTGACCAGAAGTAGATTCGGCCAAGGAGCCAGGGTGTGTGAATGAAACACAGACAAAATCAATTGCGTTGTTAGAAAAGTGTATATATATATTGATTGTAGTCACAGATTCTATAAATATAGGTGAGGTATGCGATAACGATATTATATTATTTATGTGTTGCTATAAATAGGGCAGATATAAGGAAATATTTGTAATACAAAAAGAAAAATACAAAAACAAAAAGTGTCCTTTGGTAGGTCAGTTCAATTCAGTTATGGTGGGCTCATAACTGTACTTTAAGTTCCTTTTAGAGTCTTTAGAGTTCCTTTTTGGGATTCAGAAAAGTTCAAGTATTCAAGATCCTACCACTCAGGTAGAACAATAGCTCGCCATCAGAAGGTGATTGCAGTCGGTCGAAGAGCCGTTGCAATAATCCAACGTAAAAACAAAAGTCTGACCATTGAAGGTACAGAGTCAGATTCGAAGTGGGATGATGTCAGGCCGTGTAGTTTGTTGGGTTTGTTAGCCCCGTTAACAAACACTGGCTGATACTCCTGGATCGGAGATTCAACGTAAAAGATAATATAAGGCAAAATCAGCGCGGTAAAAGGCAATAGACGCCGAGAAGCCAGACGCACGCCACAGGCCACAGTCCACAGTCACAGAGAGCCGTCAAGGAAGGGGCGGTGGGAATGACCTGGTATGACCCCGCAGGTTAGAGGGAAGCAGCGCTGACGCTGTATGCATTTATTGGCCCGCAATATTCATAAAATATTATTCATGTTGGGCAACCATAATAAATATAAAAATATCATGTTAGGAAATGCGGGTTACACATAGGTGGCTTCATGACAGGGCCCCAGCCGGGTCTCTCCTCTAGCTAGACTGCCAGTGGCTGCGAAGCAGAGACCCTGTGCATCCTAGTGTTTAGAGATAAGAGGGGAAGGGGAAGGCGGGGGAGGAGGATAGAGAGGTGTGTGGCTTTTGGGTGTTGAACGAGGGGGGCAGAATACTTACCTTGAGAAAGGTTCAAGTGGGCCGAATACTTTCGCAAGGCACTGTAAATGACACAGAACAGACCTGGTACACATGATGGTTGTAAAATAAAACATTTCACCCTCCTGAGGCAAGGCAAGTTTATTTGTATAGCACAATTAATACACAAGGCAACTCAAAGTGCTGAACAAAACAAGAAAGCATTAAAATCATAAATAATCACAGAACATTAAAAAGAAAGATAAAATATAAAATCCCTCAGTTGTATGCACAGCTAAACAGAACTGTTTTTAACCTGGTTTTAAACATTGTCAGAGAGGAGGCCTGTCTCACATCTTCAGGAAGATTGTTCCAGATTTTAAGCGAACATTGGCGTTACACTATTAATTCCACAACAGCAGATATGTGACGTTACCCAAATTATTTGAGGAATAATCCCACATATCAACATCGGTATCGGTTGATAGTGGAATCGAAAATTGAGAGTTGGACAATATCGGCATATCGGATATCGGCAAAAAGCCAGTATTGGACATCCCTATTCCTGACCTCTGACTCTTGACCCCTGATGACTCCTGACTGGTCTCATCCTTTGACTTCAGGCCGTGGATCTCATGGAGCAGGACCACAGTTTAAGCTCCTCGCCTTCCTCCTTTGGCCCCGCCCTTGGTCTGGCCTGGTCCAATCAGGTTACAATGAGGCTGATGATGCGTCGGGAGGCGGGACTTCTGAGGCGCGGTGACCAGAGCTCCGCCCACCGCAGTCTGCAGGTGGTGTACGCCCCCCACCTGCCTGCCGGCCAATCACAGGGCAGTGTGATAGTGGGAGTGTGGAGGGAGGGGCTGAGGGGGGAGGGGCATCTGGAGAATATTCATCTTTAGATGTGTCTGTGTGTATCTTTGTGTAGATCCATGTTTCACTGTTGTGTTGAATATGGATAAATTCATTTAATTTTGTCTCATGTTGTTTTTGTAATATCTCACCCCAACACGACCTCTGACCCACAGATGAGATGGAAAAAACTCATGTTTCAGTCACTTTTATTTCACTGTTTGCAACATGTTCATGGTTTAGGGGACACTCTTCTGTTGCAGCAGAACTCTGATCTCTGACTGCCACTCGACGACCAGTTCAAGAGGACACAGACCCTCCTGAAGAAAACACCAGCATTAGCCATGCTTTAGTCCTGATTTAGTCCGGCTTAAGACCTGCTTTAGTCCTGCTTTAAATCTGCTTTAGTCCGCTTTAGACCTGCTTTAGACTTGCTTTAGTCCTGCTTTGGATCTGCTTTAGTCCCGCTTTAGATCTTCTTTAGACCTGCCTTAGTCCTGCTTTGGATCTGCTTTAGATCTGCTGTAGTCCTGCATTAGTCCTGCTTTAGACCTGCTTCATGGTGCTTTCAGACCGGATCATGCGTTGCGTCGGGTTTCAATGCAAAGTCTATGGTGGCGCACGTTCGACCGTCACAACGCACGGACTTCTCGGCACGCACAAACGGACTGTTCAGTAGAGACGCATGGACTTGGCGGGAAAGTGAAAAGGGAGGAGCAGGAGCGAAAAATCGACGCCCACAGGAGATGGATTCTGCTCATCCTTTCCTTGGGACGTTCGTGCGACAACCAATCAGAGAGCAGCAAAGTGGTCACGGGGACATTAGCGGACTGAGCGAGCAGACTGAAAATACTCAAACAGCAAAAACAGGACCCACACCAGACTTCACCAGAACTCAAACCAGGGTTGACGATGGGAGACTGTGTGCTTGTGAATATATGCGTTGTCATGCTCCCGTGACCTTATGCAACTGCTTCGAGTGTGTTCGCCGATGCGTAAATTCCGTTTAATAATATGAAAACACGTATGGCGCACCTCCGTGAACACGTACTGCTGTTATATAAAGCCCGTGGAATGTCTGTGAGCAAAGACACGCTGCAAAGCTGCATATTGGAGAAGATCTGTACACAAGAAGCCGCTAGCATAGCTCTGTTAGCATTAGAGCCGGCCGGCTATTTCCGGTACATCCGGCTCGCGTCAGGACGTTCTGGTGTGAAGTACTCTGCGTCTGAAAACTAGAGAATGCGCGTCTGGTGAGCGGGGCTTCCGCGTTTCAGCGTTGGCGGTCTGAAAGCCCCATTAGTCTTGCTTTAAATCTGCTTTAGTCCTGCTTTAGATCTGCTTTAGTCCTGCTTTAGTCCTGCTTTAGACCTGCTTTTGTCCTGCTTTGGATCTGCTTTAGTCCTGCTTTAGACCTGCTTTAGTCCTGCTTTAGACCTGCTTTAGACCTGCTTTTGTCCTGCTTTAGTCCTGGTTCAGACCTGGTTGGAGACCTCTTTCTCGGCTCCATTCTTCAGCAGCAGGTGAATCATCTGGATCCTGTTCAGTCTCACAGCATCATGCAGCGGACTGTCCCCCTCCTACACACAAACACACATTAAGGCTAATATAGGAGGGAGGACACACGTCTGTACGGGGGCTTACCTTGTCCTGGGAGTTGACGGAGGCTCCTGATTGGATGAGCAGCTCAGTGCAGCTCTGATGTCCCGCCCTCACTGACACGTGCAGCGGAGTACTGTTCAACTGCAACAACAGGGTCACTGCCCCTTTAATAACTGAGGCCCCTGCCCTTTAAGAGCTGAGGCCCCTCCCCTTTAAGAGCAGAATGTTCAGTAGAGATGAGCAGTTGAAGCCCCATAACACACTGAGCCTTTCATTGTCAGATTGTTTCAAATGTCCCGGAGCCTCTGAGCAGATACTAGCTTGTAACACAGCTAATGAGATCTAGTGCACAAATGTAATCATTGCTACTGAATATTTGAGTGCACAGCACAATTTCACCATGAAACATAAATGGCAGATAACGCTTAATTGCAAAAATTATTTAAATCCCTTGTTTGGTTGAAAAAGATTAAAATTCATCCCAAACCATGAATCAGTGATTTGAAACTGGACACAGCACATGGTACGGTATGAACATGTGTTGCCAGATCCAAAATCTGACTTTAGGCTCAAGTCTGTGTGTGTGTAACCTATGTGTCTGTGTGTGTGTCTGTATGATTGTGTGTCTATGTGTGTGTTACCTTGTCCAGTGCACTCATATCTGCTCCTTGTTGCAGTAATTTTTCAATCACTTCAGGATTTCCTCCGCGAGCCGCGGCATGAAGACAAGTACTGTCCAACTGTGAAACAGTAATAGTACTGTATAAATACTGCAGTACTGTGAAGTAGTAATACTACAGTACAAATACCGCACTACTGTGAAGTAGTAATACTAGAGTACAAATACTGCAGTACTGTCGTAAGGTCAAAGGTCACCTTGTCGGTTGCCGTGACGTCAGCTCCGTTCTGAAGCAGGAAACAGACGACATCTGAGTGACCTCTGAGAGCAGCTCTGTGGAGAGCGGAGCGACCGAACTGAGGAGGAGGAGGAGAGGGGAGGAGGAGGGAGGAGAGAGGAGAGAGGAGGAGGAGGGAGGAGAGAGGAGGAGGAGGAGAGAGGAGGAGGAGAGAGGAGAGGAGGAGGAGGAGAAAACGTCACAACATCCTCCTCAGGCCACCGCAAAGATGGGAAAGAACCAACATCATTCTGCATTTTAACAGCAGCTGAGAAAATGGAAACTGAAACTACAGCTTTAAATGGTATAGTTTGGACGAACAAAGGAGTAGAATTCTCCACCGTGTAGCGCTCAGAGCACACGTAGCTAGTTGGTGTACCCGCCGCCATTGTTTTTTACGTGTGTACGCAGTTACTGCACATGTCCAAATGTAGTTGTAGGGAATTGACGGTCGCATCAGCAGAGAATTTACACCTTTTTCTTCAAAGGACACTAAAATCTGCATAATATGCGGCCTTTATGAAAGCTGTAGGTTCTCTGTCAGCTGAGGTCTAGCTGTTTTAGTATACATTGAGTTCTATGGGACTTTTTTCTGGATATTGAGAATTTAGTCACGGGCGCCCCCTGTGGCTGTTGGTGGGACAGCTATAAACTAATATCCAGTCACTATTATTAAGAGATCCTTTATTCGTCCCACAGTGGGGATATTTCAGTATTAGATCCATGATTCTTTCACGTCTTTGCGGCGGCCTGAGGAGGATGTTGTTGAGGAAGTGGTTAACTGCTGGGGGTCATGCGTGTCATGTTGTAAACTTCCACTGCCCACTAGTGGCCGGGCGCTAGAACTACATTGTTTTCAGTAGACATCTAAGACCCTGTCCACGCGAAGTCAAGCTCAGGCCTAAACGCAAAATACTTTATCAATCCAGTGTATCGTCCATACGAGGCCAGCGTTTTGGGGGGGTGTAAACGAACATTTTTGAAAGTAGGTCCCAGAGTGGAAAGATTTCAAAACTCCGTATATGCCGCTCCGTGGTTACTGCCTCTCCGCAATGTATCTGAGACGCTTGCGTCATCGCCCTGCCTCTTGTTAAAGCACGCATGCGCCGCACTCAGGAAATAATGACAACAACAATGTAGCTTGTTGTTTTTGTAATCCAGTGTGACCCGAAGCAACAGTTCAACCTCATCGTCCGTCCATACTAATGTAGTACCAGCTCGCCCACTCGCCATGTTGTCTGTTTACAAAATTCCGCGCATGCCCAGGGCCCGTCACGGAAGTTTGGGCTTGATCCCGTCATTGCGTCACAGCGCCACCAACAGGTCTGGCATAGTTTCACAGCGTTTTCAGGCGTATTGACTACATTCATATGGACGCACACATTTACTGAGCTAACTCCGTGTTTACAGAAAAAGTTTCTGAAATTATAAGCGTTTTGTCTTCGTGTGGATATAGCCTAAATCGCTGGTGCTATGAGACTTGGGTGGCATCTCCGATTGCCACCCCCCTGACCCAGAAATGGATTAAAGGTTAGAAAATGGATGGATGGATCTAAATCCTGCGTAGGAGCCTAGTCGTTTATGCTTATTGCTTTGCAGCGTGTCCACATCGTCTGCGTCTAAACGGGGGCTGATAGAGGAGCTGTTTGGAGCTGTTGTGATGTCACACCTGGTCCCTGACGTTCACGTCTCCTTTGATCTGCAGATATCTCTGAATCACCGACAGCGTCTGCTCTTCACACGCTTCAAAGAAGTCTTCCTCATCCACAAAGTACGGCTGAGAAAGAGATAACCATGTTAGCATGATGTTAGCATCATATTAGCATGTTAGCATGATTTTGGCAGGCTATCATGATGTTAGCAATGTGATTGCTCTTCCCCCGGCTCAAGGAAGTCTTCCTCATCCACTAAGTACAGCTGAGAAAGAGGTAACTATGTTAGCATGAGGTTAGCAACATATTAGCATTTTATCCTGATGTTAGCATGTTTTTAGAATGCTGTTAGCATGATGTTTGCATATTATTATGAAGTTATCAGGATGTTAGCGTCATGTTAGCATCTTGTTAGCATCATGTTAGCATGTACTGTATTCTCACCACTACTGTCACTTCCCCTTCTCTTTTCTTCTCTGCTCTCTGTCTCTGTTGTTTCTTCTTCTGCTGCAGTATACTGTACAGATCCTCTGGAGTCTCCAGCAGGGGGCGCCCACACTTATCCGTGCGCAGTGTCACAACCGAGTCGTGTTTCTCCGACTCCACGAACGATTCGTAATTCTCCATCTGTAACACCACCCCCAATGCAAACATCCGTAACACCACCCCCAATGCAGACATCTGTAGCACCACCCCCAATGCAAACATCCGTAACACCACCCCCAATGCAAACATCCGTAACACCACCCCCAATGCAGACATCTGTAGCACCACCCCCAATGCAAACATCCGTAACACCACCCCCAATGCAAACATCCGTAACACCACCCCCAATGCAGACATCTGTAGCACCACCCCCAATGCAAACATCCGTAACACCACCCCCAATGCAGACATCTGTAGCACCACCCCCAATGCAAACATCCGTAACACCACCCCCAATGCAGACATCTGTAACACCCCCTTCTTTTTACTCTCCCTGCTCTGTTTGATGGGGCGTTTACACCGGATCATGTGTTGCGTCCGGTTTCAATGCAATGTCAATGGTGACTTCTGTATGTGCGAGGAATTGCATTTGCAGAGGCGGTGTGTACAGCGACTTGATGCATGCGACGAAAGCTATCAATCAATCACAAAGTGGTCACGGGGACACTAGCCAGTCAGAGCAAAAAAAAAAAAGGAAATAGGAGTTAAACCAGAACTAACTACGGTAGCTCCGCCCTGATCAGCAGCTCTGATTGGTCAGAGTGTGGCCGAGCCCCTCAGTGCACATGCATGAGAGCTCCACGAGTTCCGCTAATCTCTAAATGCCGACGGTGGCACATGCACCACTGAGGGCCCCATCTTGGATCGCCGGCGCTCGGGGACACTGCTTGTGAACCAGAGGGGGCGGGTCCCGGCTCAAAAATGTCTAAAATGACGTATATTTATAGTCCATGTTGTGAACATATTGCTCCGGTGCTGCAGAACTACTGTTAAATAATAAAATAAACTCATGGCGCAGCTCCGTGAACACATACTGCTGTTAGATAAAGTCTCTGAAGGTCTCAGACACAGAGACGCTAGGGAAGAACTTTACACAAAAACCAGCTAGCTTAACCCTGTTATCGTAAAGACCCAACCGCCACTTCCGCCCTGCGCTTTTCCACATCGCAGGTTAGTCCTTCAGATTTTCTAAACTCTTGCCGCTGAAATATGGTGAATGTGCGAGGACGCTGCGTTCAAACGTCGGCGGTGTGAACATAGCTGTAGAGTTCTCGTGTGTCCAAGTGTGTGTGTGTGTTTGTCTCTGTGTGTGTGTGTGTGTGTGTGTTTTATAAATAAGTATATTTGGTATGAAGGCTCGCTCTGACGTCTCTGTCTCCGTGCTGGTGCCAGGCGCTGACCTCTGACCTCTCACTTATGAACACACTTGACCCCTGACACCACCGGAATCCCACCCACAACCAGGGGCTGGTCGCCACGGATTTTCCTACTGTCTGAAAATCAGGGTATTTTGATAAAAATATCATTGGCTCATACACTCTGTTTCTCCTCTAGGTTCTTTTTACACTCTGTTTCTCGTCTTGGTTCTTTGGTTAGAGTTAGCTGTGTGTGTGTCTGTGTCTTGGGTATTACTACAGTCTATGGAATTACTATCTTATAGCTGTCCCACTAACGGCCACAGGGGGCGCCCACGGTACTGCAGACTAAATTCATGCAGGCCTTCCAGAAAATGCTCCCACAGAACTCAACGTAAACTAAAATCGCTCGACCTCAGCTGACAGAGAACCCACAGCTTTCCTGAACTTTTTTATTCATAAATCCACACTTTAATGCAACAAACTCTGCGCAGACGATGCCCAAATATGGGTGAGACACACACACCCATACACGCGCACACACACATACACTCAGAGAGACACGTGCAAATCACAAATGCTCTGTGAGGATCGTTATCACTATTCCTTATATGGGCATTTTAACAACAGGGTGACCTATGCGCCGTAGCAGGGGCAGATGCAAACCGAATGAAGGCCACTGATTGGTCAGTCCTTATAGATTTATAGACAATATCACATGTAAACAGCAGAATTACAGAGAGCGATAAACCACAGATTTTAGCCCAAAATGGTGATGTCACATAAACGTTATGAGCTAGAGGAGTTTACTTTTACAAGGAAGTCAATAATAGAAAGGAGCCAAACTTCACCATGAGCACTTCATTGAGCTAGTGGGTTAGCATTGAGCTAGCTGGTTAGCCGTGAGTTAGTAGGTTAGCATTGAGCCAGTGGCTAGCATTGTCTATCTATATGCAGGCTATGGCCTCTTCACAGAGATGCTGTGTCGCTGGACCCCTGACCTCTGACCTAGGCCTTTATGAGCTGTGCTCTGATTGGTTGACTGCTGTTGTGCCACTTGTTTATGAGCTGTGCTGTGATTGGTCGACTGCTCTTAAACAGTTATTCTCAGTTTATTGTGAGTTTGACGATGAAACTGAACTTTTCCAATGATGCAAGACATGCACACACAAGACGTGGACACACACACAACCAAAAGACACACAAACACACACAGCACACACACACACACACATGGAGAACATACAAACACAGACACAGAGGTTAGCTCTAACCTGTCCTTTATTTGTAGAGTGCTTTTCCTAGACAAGGCAACACAAAGTGTTACACAATAATCAACACAGGTAAATAAAAAACTTTTAAACAGTAGATAAAATCCTTCATTTGTAGCCAATAGAACCATCTTCATCCATCCATCCATTTTCTACCCCTTAATCAATTTCTGGATCGGGGGGGCAGAGATGCCACCCAGTCATGGATCTATAATAATAACCGGATAGAGTATTACTAGCTTATAGCTGTCCCACCCATGGGAACAGGGCGCGCCCATGGTACTGCAGACTAAATTTACGCGGGCCACCCAGAAAAAAATCCCATAGAACTTAATGTAAACTAAATCAGCTCGACCTCAGCTGACAGAGAACCAACAGCTTTCAGAAAGATCGGATTTTGTGGGGATTTTAGTGTCCCTCGTCATCCTTTTTTTTTTCTTAAATCCTTCGGTTTTCTTTAAATCTACACTTTACTGCCACAAACTCTGCTCTCTGTGCACGTGCATGAGACCCACACACAAGTATTTGGCGCAACGCATCATGGGAGCTCGTCCACTGCGCAGAACCGGGAGGACCAGACGATGCCCAAATATTGGTGAGTTCTGCTAATCTTTCGGTCCCCGTGAAGTCCCATGCTACTGAGCACAAGCCATTCATTATACGGCACCATCTTGGATCACCGGGGCTTGCACCCAGTACACAAAGCACCAGCCCCTCACTGATCCTCCCACAGGTGGTGAGTCCACAGGAGGATGGCCGCTCTATGGCATAGCCTTGATCTTTCAGCGGGGGCTTCAGGCTAAGTAAGTCAGTAATGTTTATTTATATATAGCGCATTTTACAGACCAAGGTCACCCAAAGCGCTTTACAATGTTCAGAGTTCAGCTATTGTTCCAATCATTCCACACATGGTGATGACGGAAGCAAGTCGCCGAACACACTGGTGCATCAGCCTCCAATCAACACCATCCATTCACTTTCTCATTCATACCTATTGTGTATGTTTTTAGTGGTAGGGGAAACCAGAGCACCTGGAGGAAACCCACGCAGACACACTCTACCAACTGAGCCACTGTCACCCTCAAATAGAACCATCTTCAAACTGGATCTGACAACCCCTAACCCTGGTTTTATATTTAATATTTATTTGGTTGGGACAGTACATGTTAATGAACACATCACTCCGGATTGTAGCTTTGGGCTAATTTGCATACGTTGTCCCACATTCGCACTCACAAACACACACTCATTCACCCTGAACTATTCTACATGTTTTCAGTGGTAGGGGAAACCGGAGTACCTGGAAGAAACCCTATGCAGACACGGGGAGAACATGCAAAATCCACACAGAAAGGCCCTGTTTCGACCGGGATTCGAACCCAGAACCTTCTTGCTGAGAAGCGAGAGTGCTATCCACTCAGCCTCCGTGCTGCCCAAACCCTAACCCTGGTCTTTCATACCCTCCCCTGGTCTCACATACCCTAACCCTGGTCTTAGATACCCTAACCCTGGTCTTTCATACCCTAACCCTGGTCTTAGATTCCTCTAACCCTGGTCTTTCATACCCTAACCCTGGTCTTTCATACCCTAACCCTGGTCTTAGATTCCTCTAACCCTGGTCTTTCATACCCTAACCCTGGTCTTTCATACCCTAACCCTGGTCTTTCATACCCTAACCCTGGTCTCACAAACCCAAACTCTGATCTCAAATACCCTAATCCTGGTCTTAAATACCCTCCTCTTAACCCTATATACTATTAGTTTAAGTGATAGTTTAAGTATTATATAGTATACATATTAGTATAAGTTTAAGTATTAGTATTACATAGTATTAGTATTACATAGTAAAAGTATAAGTATTAGCTTATAGAGTATTTCTGTAAACAGCGTTAGGGTAAAGTGTTAGCTCCTCACCTTAAGAAGATCTGACAACGTCTGAGGAGTTTAGTGCTGCAGCTATTTACACACACACATACTGTACACATACACATGTACGCACACGCACACACACACACACACACACAGTCGTAGTACTCTGAGGGTTGCTTGTAGCAAATTTGTTTTTTTTTTGGCCCTCTGATGTATTATAAGGACAAGGATGATCCGGAACAGTTAAGAACATTTATGGACATTGGTCATCCTGCTCTCTGAGGACGAAGGGCTCCTATGTTGTTGTGATTTAGGGATAGATTAAAAAAAAGAATTGAATTGACATTGACTAAACCAGGTTTTTATGTAACTCAAACTAGTCTACTGATAATATTATTATTTCTGCTTACAGGGACCATGGCATACAAGTCATTGAGGTCATATGTTTTTTGTAAATAAATACATTTAGACCTTATCTGGATTCATTTATTTTCCTGGTTAATATAATACACTTTGCCACAAGTTAAAAACAAGATTGAAGTGCTTTCCTCAGTGTCAAACTCAGGTGTGTGGAGCCTTTCCCACATCAAAGCCACCTGCTGCACTGTTTTAGGAGGAAAAATCATATGTGTTGTGGCTCTCTGAAACAAAAACAATGATTTAAACCAATGAAAACTGGTTTGAATGATTGTGGATCATTCAAACCAAATACTGAACATCACAAACTGATGTTATAGTGGAGGCTAAACACCACAGCCAGTCTCAGCAGCTCCGTGACAATTCCCAGGTACGCAAAACACAAACGAAAAAGGGTTTTGTTTGGCCAGCACACTCACCAGGCACTGGTGGATCTGCAGCCGCCCGTACCTGAAGTCCAGACCTGTCCTCTGTCCTCGGCTCGGTGAAAGAGCACAGCCTCAGCTTCCCTCTCAGTCAGTTACATTACATTACACTCTACTGTACTTAAACT